TTGAATCAAGACTAATTCACGTTATTTGGTCACGAACAAACAAGCGAATTTTTTCCTTCGCAAGTGCTTTTTGGTACCCACTAATCTGTTGACGCCGAGAATCTTCCTTGCTCTGATGTTTGAATTCTTGATTTCCTGGATTATAGGAAATCATGATCGCCCTCTTTTTCATTTTTTTTTTCTGTTGAACGTGTTTTGCCGTTTTTTGGGCGTCAATCTCGCTTGATGACCTTCAATAAATGGAGAGAGAACAAAGATATCTCATGATTTATTTATCTCGTATTTTTGAAAATAAAATCACTTCTAATTCCTCTTTTGATTAAGTTTCCTTCTAATAGTATTTATGTAGATATTTCTAGTCTAGGGGCTATGTATGTAATTTTCCCATGAAACATAACATTACCTTGTATAGGAAGGTTGTGATTTTGAAAAAGTTAGTACAGTTAATTTTTAGTACAAATTTAAGTTTAAATTAAAATAATATATATAACAACTGAATTAAAATTGGTTTGATGGAAAGATGAGAGAAAAATGATTGATAGTAGAGATGACAATTTGGTTCGGACGCAGTCCGACCTGGCCTGAACTGCATCTTTTGGGGCAGGTCAGACTCGCCTCGTTACCAAAACGGGCCAGAGAAAGTCGGCCCCGTCCTGTAAACGGTCAGGTCCGGGGCATAGATGTCAGCCCGCCCTGATCCACCTTGACCCGACCTGCCCAATCAATAGTGTAGTCAAAATGTCAAGGTACCTAAAATTCTTCCAACTACAAGTCTATCACACCACTTACAATTCTCACTGTCCACTTTTCATTTTTTTTTATGAGTCCTGTAAACCAAAGTTTTGAAAATCGAACCGGTCATCGAATCGGTGTAGCTACTGGTTCAATGGGACTGGTCGGACTACTGGTCGAACCGTTTTAATTAATATATAATTTGTTTATTTATATAATATATAATTGTTTCTTATTTTATCAATAATTTTATAATATATAGTTCAATAATAGATATAATCGACAATGTTAAATAATTTTGTTTTCTATATTTTAATCTATATTTAATTATAAAATAGAAAGAATAAATTTATATTTCAATTTTTAAATCAAAATTTGGAAGCAAATAATTCATTATAAGAAATGGGAGTTAATCCATGATCATGTTTCCAACCAAAAAAATGCAATCTAAAAAATAATGTGAGTGACCATAGACATCAATTAAAGAACGATTGTTTCGTAATTATTTTTATTTTTGGGCTTTTAATTTTGAACAATTTTTTAGTTTCATTTTTGGGCTTTTAGATTTGAACAATTTTGGACTCCAAACAACTTAAATCCAAAATAAAGTTATGGGCCCAACTCCAAACTAGAAAACAAAAGAAGGAGGAGTACATTAAGTGATAGATTTGGCTTGCTCAGTCACATCTTCACAGAGTCTAAAATTGAGATTGTTGGGCTGCCCCAACCGGGTCCGATTTTACCAGTTTGGACGGTTCATAACTAATTTTGGTCCCTAGCGGTTCTATAACCCAAACTGGACCGGTGAGCTGGTCGGTTCATGGTGAAAGGCGGTCCGATCCGATTATGAGAACTATGCTTTAAACTCTTCATACCACACCTATTTTCTCCATTTTCTAATATTTTCTTCTATTTTTCATTTTTTTTTTTAATTTTGCTTCCAAAATTTCTCGGTAGCTTTTTTCTTTAGTTTTGTTCTCTCTTTATCTTTTATCTTTTCAGTTACACACTCACGAATTTGGGGTTGAGGATTGCGCCGTTTGAAATATGTCCCCGAACTGGGGATGGGAGGCGGTGGTTGTGAGCCACGACTGGGAGAGGGCTGCGGGCCACGATTGGGAAATGGCGGTTGCGACTGGTGATGTCACTTTGGCCAATAGAAGCAACTATTGTGTTGATAAATAGTTCGAGACTTTGAGGTTTGATTTTCTTAATTTTTATAATATCCATTTGTAAAAAGTTTTTCCTTTTTTGTGAGAGATTTTTGAAAAAAGTATTTGTTACCTGTTTTTGTTAAAATTTTGAAGCTACATTTTTTGGAGAGATATGACAACTAAGTTACTGAATAAAAAAGAACACACTCACACACATACGAGGCAAGAAGGGTCGACCCGCTCCGATGCGGACCAGATCTCGGGCTCGTCTTGGGGGACTCGTTGCGGGGCAGAGGCCAAGTCGGGTCACGAGTGTAGGGGCACGTGCCAGTGCATAGAACTACGGACCGACCTGGCCCCTGCCCCTCAACTCACACTTTCCAAAATTATGTATATAATAATAATTGCACTCCATATTCATGCACCAGTTTTGCTATGGAACCATCAGATGACACGATTTATGTAGTGATCTACACTTATTAACAAATAGTGTATTAACACGTGTTCTACAATAATTACACTTTAGACATGCGTCAATACATTAAATGACCGAAGGACTCTATAAGATCTCTTTATAGAGGTTTAATTCCACTTTGTGTAATGTCGTGAGTTGTCATGAAAAAAAAAA